TTCGGAGAGCCCAAGAGGCTCTTCGGAGAGCCCAAGAAGCGCTTCGGATGCCCCAAGAGGCTCTTCGGAGGCCCCACGAGGTTGTTCGGAGAGCCCAAGAGGCCCTTAGGCGGCGGCTCCAAGAGGCTCTTCGGAGAGCACCAGAGGCTCTTCCGAAAGGCTCTTCGGTGAAGGGGGGGGGGGGGGATGTGGGGGAGGGGCGGAGCCTTTTTTTGCCCCCCCCCCCCCACCTCCCTCCCCCCCCCCCCCCCCCCCCCCCCCCCCCCCCCCCCCCCCCTCCCCTTCACCGTACTCGATAACGAATACACTCTGGAGGACCCCTGGCGAAACAACACCCACCGGGCCGCAGTAACAACCAACGGGCCGCAGTAACACCTTATCTCGTGGCGGGGGAGGGGGGGCGCTGGGGAGAGGACGATCGGGGGCTGTGGGGAGAGGACGAGCGGAGAGCTTGACTGTCCTCCTAGCTACGAGTGGCGGGGCGCCCGCCGCCCCCAGGAGAGAGGTGGAACGCCGACGACGAGGGCGCTGCCGTGGGCGCCCCTGCGGAGGACCGAGGGCAGCTGCGCAGCTGCCGGCCCTCTTCCTCCTCCTTCCTCTACAATCCTCCTCCTCTTCGTTCCTGCTCTACCCCGTCCTCGTCCTCCTCCAGCTCCCCCGCCCTCCCAGTCTGCCACGTCGTCCTCCCCGTCATTCGCGTTCCCCTCCTCTCATTCGTCGTCCTCGTCGTCGTCCTCTTCCTCCCCTTCCGCGTCGTCGTGCTGCCTTTTTCCTTCCTGTGGCTGTCGCCGTCGTCGTCCCCCCGTCCTCCTCGTCCTCCCTCTTTCCCTCCTGCGCGTTCTCGTCCTCGTCGTCACCCTGCTGGTGCTGCTCCTTTGCGCTTGCACTTTCACCCCCGCGTGCGCGACTCAAACAAAACGGAGTCGTTTGCGCCCGCCGGCACTGGCGCGTGAGCTGTCCTTCGCAAGGTCGCGCGTGAGCGCCCCCCCTCGTCTCCGACGAGGCGTGCTGCGCTCGCGGCCCGTGAACGCTGCGGCGTACGGGCGCCGCGTCGTCTCGCGCAAGACCCTCTCTTTTTGTACCCTCGTGATCCTCCGAGAAGCCCTCCGTGGCCTCCCGCGGCGGTTCCCACTTGAAGGCGGGGGGATCTTCCAAGGCCTCCTCAGAAGGCCAGCTTCCTCGCCTCATGATGTTCCAACCTACTGTGGGGGCACATGCCAAGAAACACCCTGCTTGCCTCCAGGGTGCCCTGGGTTTGTTGGGGTTTGATGGTTTTGCCATGGAGACCGTGACGTCCCCCCACACCAAACATCGATGGGCTCCCTGGGGTCTCAGGGTTTGGGTTTCTTGTGGAAGGCTTCTTGTGTTCGGGCCTCCACTGTATGTTCTCTCCCCCTTCTGTTGGGGTGAGCGCTCGGTGAAGCCGGTTGGCAGTGGCAACGCTTTGGCCTGTGCTGGGCTACTGGGCTGTTCCATCTCCTGAATTTACTCGTTGCGAGGCGAAAGTGAAGGAAAGACCCTCACCCGTCTGCCGTCCTCCGTTTCCTCCTCCTTTCCCGCCCCTTCTCTCGTCCTTCCATTTTCCCCCCATCTGTGGAGGAGAAAGGAGGGAGAGGGCGAAGGAAGGGGGAGGAGGGAAGTTGACGGAAAGAGATACAGAAAGAGAAAGAGTCAGATCTAAAACAACTTATAAGCAGTAGCAGCAGGAGGAGGAGGAGGGCGTAGGATTCGGACGTCCGCGAACGGGCTCCATAAAAATAATGCAGCAGAACCAGGGGGAGGAAGAGGAAAGAGGAGGAGGGCGAGGAGGAGGAAGAGGGAGGGGGAGGCAGAGAGAGGCGAAGGAGGAGGAGGAGGAAGGGGAGGAGGAGGAGGAGGAGAAGGGAAGAATGGGGGAGGGATGGAGGAGGAGTAGGAGGAGGAGGAGGAGGAGGAGGAGGAGGAGGAGAAGGAGGAGGAGGAGAGTCGTTGCTGTCGCTCCCCCTTTTTGTTTATCGCGAGCCTTCCCGCGCGTTTCCGCACGTCCGGCTCGAATAACTTGGGAGACCCAGTGTTGGGCCGTGACGCGAAGCGTCATAGCCAGAACAGGGTGGGAGCGCCTCTCTGTCTTAGCGCCCGCGTATCGTCATCTACTGGCATGGAATGGTTTAGCCATGTCGCATGACGTCGTGAAAAGGACCATCCGTCACCAATATCCTAGAGGAAGGGGGCCCTTGAGCTAACATACCAGAGTCAGGACAGTGCTCGGATGTCAGAATATTAGAAAGAGCGTGTTCTACCGCTCCTGGCGGAAAACCGGGGGGGATCACTGGGTGTTCCCAACCCGTTCCCCCCCCCACTCGAAAGCCCGGGGGGGGTCACTACCGGTTCGACCTCTCCCCCCTCCCCTCCCCCCCCCAACCCATCATGAAAAGGGTGGGGGGTCACAACCGATTCCCCCCCCCCCCTCGGGACAGTTGGACAATGGTGGGGATAGGGGACAGTGGTGGGGATAGGGGACAGTGGTGGGGACGGTGGTGGTGGGGACAGTGGTGTGGAGACAGTGGGGCAGTGGTGCGGACACTGGGACAGTGGTGGGGACGGTGGTGCGACAGCAGCACAGTGGGGAGAGTGCTGGGGACAGTGGGGACAGTGGGACAGTGGTGGGGGCGGTGGGGACACTGGGACAGCACAGTGGGACAGCGGCGGGGACAGTGGGGAGAGTGGGACTGTTGTGGGAACAGTGGGGACAGTGGGACAGTGGTGGGGACCGTGGAGAAAGAGGGGAGAGTGGGACCGTGGTGGGTAGCGGGGACAATGGGGACAGTGAGACACTGTTGGGGGCACTGGTGGGGACAGCGGGGACCATGGTGGGAACAGTGCGGACAGTGGGACAGTGGTGGGGACTGCGGACAGTGGCGGGGACAGTGGTGGTGACTGTGGGACAGTGGTGGGGACGGTGGTGGTGGGGACAGTGGTATGTGGACTGGGACAGTGGGGACAGGGGTGGTGACTGTGGGACAGTGGTGGGGACGGCGGTGGTGGGGACAGTGGTGTGGGGACAGTGGGACAGTGGGGACAGTGGGACAGTGGTGGGGACAGTGGTGAGGGCGGTGGCGAGGACGGTGGTGGGACAATGGGAGAGAGCTACAGTGGGGACAATGGTTGGGAAATCGGGACAGCGGTGGGAAGAGTGGGACAGTTCAGTGGGACAAAGGCGGGGACAGTGGGACAGTGAAGACAGTGGGGACAGGGGGACAGTGGTGGGGACCGTGGGGAAAGTGGGGAGGGTGGGACCGTGGTGGGAACATTGGTGGGGACAGTGTGGACAGTGCGACAGTGGTGGGGGCACTGGCGGGGACTGGGGACAGTGGTGGGACCACTGGGGACATTGGTGGTGGGGACAGCGGTGACGGGGACAGCGGTGGGAGATGTGGTGCGGACGGTGGCGGGGACCCAGGAGTCGTTTGCTGGCGGCGAGGGGGGGGGCTCGAAACGGATGATGATGACCGCGCTTTCTTGCTCCCCCTCGTAGCGGAGCTCGGGGACATCGGGTCGCCGAGCTCCCTCAGCGAGGGGAGCGTGGTCGAGCGCGCCCAGTGGCTGGACAAGGGCGAAAATCAGCGCCCGTCAAAGCACGCTGGCCGGCTCTCTGCTCCCGGATCCACACGAGTGACGGACCCCCTCTGGGGAGGAGGTTTGGATGAGCGAGGCGAGAGCATTGGGGCTGGGCCCAGGGAGTCAGAGGTCCAGTTCGCGCTCCGTGCCACTACTGCACGCGCATCCAGCGGAATTGGTGAATGCAATATGTCTTTCGAGTATTTCGAGGAGTACGCCGAAGATCGGGGGAAAACAAACCTACCTCGCTTTGACCACCCTCGCTTCCACGATATACCAAACGATGCCAAATTACGGCCTGTGCTGGTCAGGACGCTTGACGAGGAGGCGCGTGGCATGGCTTGGTCTTGCCTGGGAGCGAAAGCGGGGTAGGTAATTCACGTTCTGAGAAGAGAACGGCGCAGACGGCCCCAGGCGGTCATGGGACAACCCCGTCCAAGGGAGCCCGCTTGAGACTATTGCGACGGCCCTCGGGCTCTCTTCAAGCGAAGTGGCGTCGATGGAGGCCGGCCCCGCCGTCTACGCCGCCAACCAAGCCAGGTTTTTGCAAGCAGCGAGGGAACTTCTCGGGAGCGACGCGGACGAGCCCATCAGCGAGACCGACTCGGAGGGCCTCGAGGAGCAGGGCGCTTTGCTCGACGCCGCCCCCGACGCCGTCGCCCACGCCGAGCGCCGCAACGCGCCGCTGCGGGTGGCGTCGAACGCGACCAGGCCAATCCAGAACAGAGCTGGCGGACTTGGACAGGACGCGCAGCGAGGGATTTTCTCGGGCTCGACTCTTCCGGCGAGACCGACCAGGAAAGCCTCGGGGGCAAGGGCCCTACTCGACGCGCCCCAGACGCCGAGCGCCGCAACTTGCCGCTGCGGGCGGCGCGGGCGGATTCGGAGGGCTCCGAAGAGGCCGCTGCGGAGTCGCCGGGGCAGAGGGGGCCGCCGGGGGTCGGGGGGGGGAACCGCCTTGCGCGGAAGAGAAGTTTTCGCCTCGTGCTCGGCCAGGGCCGCGGGCCAAGACGGCAGGCGACCACGCGCGAGAGCTGCGCGCCTGGCGGACTCCAGCCGGCGAAGCGCCCGAGTGCGCCGCGACCGCAGTTTCTGCCTGCGGCGAGGGGTGTCTCGGCGGGATAGCCCGGGGGGCCCGGCGCTTGCCGCTTGGCCGGGCTTGCCCCCCGGCGAGGAACATGTGCGTGGAATTCATTCATTGTCTGCGGCGCCGCGGCGGGGTTGCCCGCTGCTGATGTGACAGCAAGTGCAGTTCGACGAGATGGATCGGCGCGCTCCGAAAGGCGACGCTGGGCCCCGCGCCCCAGCGTTGTCGCGCGGCCTGGGAGGGCCCGAAAGGGCCGGGGAGGGCCCCGAAAGTGCTCGGCGAAGGGGCCCGAGATGGCCTCCGATAGCTTCCGCAGGCCGCGCGATATCGTTGGGGCTCGCGCCCGCCGATATCATGCCAGAAGGCAGTGGCGCGAGATCGTGGGGGCCTGGGCCCCGGCGATATTCCGCCCCCTTGGACGGCCCCCGTGGGTGGCCTTCCCGGACCTTTATCGGGGCCCCCGCGGGGGCCTTCCCGGCAAGGGTTGACCGCTTATGTCCCCTTTCTCAGGGGCGATCAGAACGACGATGCGCCGCGCTGTCTCATTCCGCGACGCGCTGTGCCGCCGTGATCTATCAGGCGGTGGTGGTATGCAGTATCTTGTCATGGCTGGCTGCGTGTGCCGCGGCATGCCATCCATGGCGACCATTTCCTGGTTGCCCGCTGCGCGGCACGGCGCGCTTGCCTTCGCCCGCGCAAGTTTTTTTTTTTTTTTGTATTAAAAAATCATTCGTGGGGGCCACGATGGGGGGATCCAGGTTGATTCGGGCGCCGCTTCGGCGCGTGCCAGTGCCAGCGCTCGCGGCCGCAGTTTTGAATGTGACGCTGATTCACATGTGATGATGTTGAACGGCCTTAATACTCTGCTGCAGAAC